GGGAGGGGGGGAATTGGGGGATTAGGGGGTTGCTGTGGGTCTTAGTTTTCCTGGTCCCCATCCAGGCGTTAGCTTGGGCATGTTCTACGACAGTCAAGGAACCAACGTAAGCTGCGACATTTCCCCGTTATTTTCTAATCTTGGGTGACTAACATCGCCAAGCACGATGAGCAGACTAGAGGGAGCGAGAAAACACCATCTCCCTTCCTCTTTCACCTCCCTATCGCCTCTTTCTTCCCCCACGTCACCATGCACTCCTTTGTCTCGCAACTTAGGTTGGACCCTTCCACCGTCCTCCTCTCTCCCCTCCACGTCCGAAAGAACCATAAGTTTTAGAATCCAACTCCTGACTGGAACTTACCTCTTCTTATCCTGAATTTTATTTGATTTGGGAGATTGCAGTCTCGCTCTGGGTGGAAAAAAAATAAAAGACATTTGGTAACGCAAAAAACAGCACATGTTATGGTCAGAGGTTAAGTGGTCAAATAATGGGCCATAAGTGTTGTAGGTTATTCTGGAATTTAGAACATAAAGCTACTGGCAGAATCGTCATTTTCCTGGGCGAGCTCATTGGAATGAGGCACTGTAAGAGTGAAGAGTATTGGCCAACGATCTGGTGGTCACTGATACAGCAGCAGTGAAGCTCCGTGCTAAGGGTATCTCTGTTTGTCACCGGTTCAAACACTCCACCCTTTCTTTCACTGGGTTTGTTCTCACCTGCCTGGACATTATGATCCGGTGTTTATATTAGCGCGCTAAACTTGACGATTACGTGGATGCAAAACTCAATTTAACATTTTGAAAAACCTGAGCAGGTAAGTGAAGACGATTCTCCGTATATTCCGATGTTGACGGGAGGACAAGTTTCAGAGGAATTGTAACCTGAAATTCGAGATAAATGTAGATAAACTTTAAGTTCCTGCAGTTGATGATCACGTCAGCGGAGGCATGGGTAGCAGTCCCCCTGGCATGGCCAAAAAATAATAAAACTGGAGGTCAATGGCTGTGATTTAGCTGATTAGTCCTTCAAGGTAGATTTGTTTTGACAAAGTCATTGAGACAGACATGTGTTTAGCAAAATAAGCGGTAGTCTTCGTAAAATATTTTTAATATCATTATTATTATTATTATTTTATTTTTATTATATTTGGCTTCGTAAAGGATCATTTTCATATTTGCAAGGGTGTCTGGCCAAATTTTTAGATCTTAACTTCCATCATAATTAACAGCTAATTGCCTAGTAAATGTTCCTACCAGCACAAAGGTTTGAAAACTGCAGTTGCATCTCTTGTCCTTCCCCTTTAAAAAGAAAAAAGCTAAATACAAAATGATTTCTAGATGAGGTGTTTTGTGGCAAAAAGTATTTGAATTTAACTTAATCAACATAAAAGTTGAGATTGTACTGAAGTCACTATGCTTTCCATTACTAATACAACGATGCCCTATCGAAAAGCATTCGCCTGATCATTTATCTGGTGTACGGGAAAAAAGGTCACCTGCCGGTCCAACTTTAAGAGTGTGATTGTCGGGTCCCGGAGTATCTGTTATCCTTGATGCATACACAGACACTGTGCCATATTGCGGTATAACCTGCAGCAAATACCAAATTATGGTAAACTTGTTAAAAAATTGGAACATAACAATTCAGCGGCATCTTGTTATAATGCACAATAAGCCTGAAACATTTCTTACGTCAATAAAAATGTCCTCGACCCCGAAAAAATGCTCCGCTGACAGAGTGAAGAATCGAGCCTTATCTGGAGAAACGAACGCTACGACTTCTGTGGAATCCTCTGACTCAGTGAAGTTCAAGCCCATGTAAATAGGTGCTGCAAAGAAAAAATATTGATGTGGTCGTGGTCGTGGTCAACAAGTAAAAACGGGCAGCCACGCAAAGCGTGACCTAGACCTACCAGGTTTTTCCCACCCACTTGACTTTTATAATAAGACTTTACTAACATCGGCCAAAAATTGAACTTTTATAGGGAACAGGTCTACAACAAGTCGTAAACATCGACTGTTATGGTAATTCCACAATTTTAAGGGCTACATACTTCACGAAATTATCAGTATACTGGTAACAGGTTAACCTTTGAGGTCCCATGATCTGATTAGTAATTCTACCCTCGAGCTACTACACATTTCCTTGTAAATTAGTCAAGGGAATTTGATGTTATATCTAGATAAGAAATTCTACCAGATAAGTTTGAGTATTCTCAATACTTGTACTTGTTTGCTGGATAAGGTATGGAAGTTATATATCAATCACATAGAATTTGGAACTCACCACTACAAGCCTTTGTTCTCAGTGACGAAACCAGCTCAGGAAGTTTGTCGAAGTTTGCAGCGGTGAAAACATGGTGCTTCTCGTCAGTAGCAATCAAACGTAGCTCGGAGAGAAGGTAATTTGCGACTCCGACAGCAATCATTGTCAGGTCTGAAATGTTTAAGTTTCAAAATGAGATCTACTAAAATGGAGACAAGGCATTATGTGGAATAGAATACAGGAAACACTGGCCACAGTGTTGTGTATTCTTCAATGATCAAACCCTTTATCTATCCCCTAAATACAAGTGAGAATTACCTTTAATGTCTTTCTTTAAATTCTTCACAGCTTTCTTCAAGACATTTTTGCCAGGATCGTTAGATCTACCGTCTGTGAGTACAATAACGATCTATGACACAAAGAAAAGCTGGCTGAGCCCATAGATGGTCGTAGATTGATGAATGATGACTGCAGCTGTTAACGCATCATGGAAGCTGACTATCACGTGTACCAGATGACGATATGCTTTTCAAACAGTTTTACCTGGAAATTTACCAAGTGTGGCTAGTGCGCAAGAGGTTCATGGCTACGGCAATGACATTTAAGAATCGGTAATAACATAACCTCTGATAACTATCTAGGTTAGATTGACGAATAAATTGGCACTTTTTTCACTCCATAATGGTTCATGTCTTTATTTTTGTTGCCATTTCTTTATTATGTAACATAGGAACACGCGATAGGTGATTTTCAACCCTAGGAAAATTAATTCATACCTTCTGCTTTGAATTATTAAAAGAAGCGTCCCCCCTCATCGTCTAAATTAGTTAGACTATCATTCGTAAGATTGTTTGATCTCTAAAAAATTATATGTCGAATCAATCCATTCGCGGTAGGAACTTAGTACCTGTACTGTTTCTGTGTCGGTCACTGGATTGTCCAAAGCAGGTCGTAACACATTGTAGTGGACAGTCTTTAAAGCCTTTCCAGTGTACGTGTAACCCGCTAAGGAGCAAAAATCTGTTTTTCAGCTTCAGAGCCATATTAAATCTTGGTAAAATTTAGGTTCTGCAGATTGGACAAAAGAATGTTATGCAATCTATGGGTTGATGTGGATTATCTTGGTTGTTTTTGGTTTTTAAATTCTTCGGATACGCAGCACAATGCGTAATAGATTCATTCGAGTTTCAGGGTTGATAAAACCAATTAGGATTTATAACGGTTGATGATTGGAGAAAACTGATGGTCATTTCAAAGGACACTCTTTATGACACTCTATAATATCCAAACTGTGAAGTAACACTTTTTAAAAACTCAAGCCCGTTGGAACTCCGAGATCCTGTGAAACGGCATATGTCAACAAAATAACAAGAATTTCACTTCACATCATGTTTTAAGTAATGTGTAGTAAATAATACTTTGTAAGTAATATATCAAGAGAATTTTAAGCAATGAACGGTGATGTACATTAAGTTAGATTCAAAATGAAAGAAAAACATACTAGAATATGTGATGTCATTTACTGCGCACATCAGCCGTGTTTTGGAGCCATAGTTGTCCAGAGCCACTGCCACACTGACACTAGTGGAAAACTCAACAATAGCCACGCGAGTTTGAAGTGGAGAAATGTCAAATGTTTTAATGATCTCCCTGAAAAATAATAAACTATCGCCAGTCGAAAGCAAAACAAAAACCACGATACCAGTTGCACTTTTCAATGCCTTTCCGTTACTCAAATGTATCTAATACAGGCGAAAAATGTTTGATTTTAGTAATGTAGACACTGAAAAACAGAATTCAAAATATCGCCACTGTTCTCTGATAACGACTACTGGTGATTATAGTTATGTTAAAGATGACGATAATAATAAGTTCTAATGATAGCACGTAGATTATGAAATAATTATGATCATGTATCATAGAAACGAAACATGGCGCTTGTTTCGCTCTAGCTTTACAAAGTAAGATGCATTCAATTCGTGACAATGTGATGGATTTCAATCAATGTGGGAGTGGACTTGGAGAGCTTTGGAGGATCACTCTGAGAAAACAACGTATAGGGCAACCATGACTACTTAATTACCTTTATTATTCTTTGTTTGGATAAAAAATCATTGAGCGGTCAAGTTAATTTGCCTCATTATAGCTAACAAAGTCATGAATAAGTTTCAGGTAGCAAAGCACATGCACGAGGTTGGAAGGGTTCCTTTCGCTTCATTGTTATACCGCAGCAGTTCTAAAGAAGCAAAGTGTTGGCAGTGTTATTATTACCACTAACCGGACGAATTGTTTCTCCTTCTTATGGTTGTGTGCTTCAACGCTTCCTGACTCATCCATGACAAATACAATGTTGGCTGGAATTTCACAATCTGGAAAAAAAGAGTTTCTTTGAAAAGATGGAGAACAAACTCACATAACAAACTGGTAAATTCTGACCTTCGCTGTCTTCGTCAATACTGCAATTGGAATTTCCTGTGATCTTATCTACGGAGCAGACAAATTCATTTTTAGTAATATATTTCCTTAGCTTTCAGGATTGCATGACTTATGATAGAGCTACAGAACATGCAGCTACTCTTCAAGGGAGCAGGATTGACAAAGGGATGAGAGAAAAGAATTGGAAAAGAGTCATACATAAGCAATCTTTTAAATGAAGCTTCCAATGTAACTGGTAACAGATTTAATGACAAGTACTCACCAAGGTAAGGGAAGAATTTGTCATTTATGTCCCTGGACAGAGAGAGGATCTCGCCTTGTTTTACACCTGAAAGCTGAGCTGAGTTTTTATCATAGTAGGCCGTAGCGAATCCGTTTATCTCGCCAAGAAGGTTATCCTTATTGACCACGCTTGAAAATTTTGAGCTTCTCCGGCACCTGGCGTAGGAAGTGTCGTAAAGGATACCTGTTCTCGGAAGAAATTAAAAGAAAGAATTCAATAACCACAACTTTGTACACTATGTGCAAGGAGTGTATCGAGGTTAACAAGTCAAACTGGAAGATTAGCTTATGTCGACGCATGTTCGAAGCCACACGTCGGGCAGATTCATTGTTTAACTCCTGCACATAATTTAAGGGGAAGGCCTGCAGACAACTGTCCACACCCCCACACTCGTTTACCATTCCAGAAGCAAGGCAGTAAAATCATGTGAAGATAAGCTATACAAAGTGTTTTTGAGTCTGTGTGATTTGCTCAGACTACTGGTTTCTCTTTATCTGAATTTCCATTCCTTAAGTGTCTGTCTTTCTTTCTAAAAGAATACTTTGTGTTTAAGTTTTATAGCCCAAAGGAAAGAGAGATATGTCATCGAGCAAACATATCAAGAACTGAGGGCATCATGGAGCCGGGTAAAAAACAGGACATTTAACACCGATCGACCACTCTAGTCTTCCTGCAATTAAAAACCACTGCCATCTATAAACTAACAAGAGCCAGAATATAAATCAACGGACTTATCCTTGCCACCAGTACCGATATAATTAATAAAAGCCGCCGGGTAGATTTTGAATGTATACTCTTTTTTCTCTTGGTGCCGTCAATGCTAATTATCAGATACCTGATCCGTAATACATTCTCAGCAACTGACCAAGCCTAACACCTTTCTCCTTCCATTGGGGGATGCCGTACCCTAAAAGGAACCCGTCGACATCTCCCAATAATTCAGCGTCCGTAGCCTTAGAAGCCATCTTAGTCAGGCGATATGAAGCAGGGCAGTTAGTATCTGGGCTCCATACCCCAGACGGACCGAACAAATCCGAAGTGTCACCATTTGCTTTGTACAGCGCACTTCTTCCAAGGCTGTATGCAATCGTTGCTGTAAACAAATTATCAACACGCAGTGGAGCACCTGAGGCCCATGCACTTAGTGAGAGGCTGTTATCACGATTCAGCCCTGCACAAATGCCCAGTAAGACTCGACCCATGGCAATGGTCTCTCCGTCAGGTGTCAACACCACACCCAGCTCTTGCTTGGATTGGTCTTCGTATATGTATCTAACCATGTTGGTCAAGATGCGTCTCTCTTCTGAGTTCAAATTAACGTCTGGCAGTGGATCTGCTTTGCCGCACACTATGTTCCACAGATCAGTGTTGTAACCGAGCAGACGAACATAGTTAACAATCTTGTTTATAGTATCTCCACTTGTACTGGTGTCTCTTTCGATCTTCTCCACCAGCTCGATAAAGTAGTCCAGTGTGTAGATGTCGTACTTGATTAGAACGGAGCGCCTAGCCCTGAAATAAATATTAATATGACCAAAAAAGTGTGTTTTAGACAGTAACGAAACTGCTAAGACAAAAAAACTAGTACAAGCTGGTGCAGCAGAATGCTTATTGGTCATACACATGCAGACATTAAGTAGTAAGGATCGGGGAAAACACACAAAGATCCAATTCAAATTTGAAAAATTTATAATCGTTGTAGGGAATTTCCACTCCAAAGTCACAAAGCGGGGCGCCGCGGCATAAAATCAATTTTGCATCAGATGTTCGAAGGAAACACGAAAGTCACAGGACCCTCAACGATTACTGTGATTGCATTACTTTTGTGTGTAAACATCTTAGCACGTACAACATACAGGTAATAAAATACACACGACGAACCTGTCGATAGGCACTGCTTCTTCATGGCGTACTTCTTCTCCTGAAAGAGTGGAAGTAATGACTTTAAATCGTGATGATAGCGGCTTGCCACTTGACGTCTATTTACACCTCGTCAGAAAATAGGGCAGCCAATAAGAGAGTATATAAAAAGGCCTCTTGTTGGAACGATCAGATCACCCCTGATGAAGGACAGGATTGTCGAAACGTTGGGTCAGTGAATTGTAATTTCCCCGGTTACATTCATTAAATTTTTAAACCAGAGTAGCATCAAAGCATGTCTGATTGTTCACCTAGTTGCTCTGTGAACTTTAATGTGACCTTAAAATCACTTAGAAATACGAACCAGGGGATTAGGCATCTCCTGCCCTGCAGGCAGAATGACATTACGAGACAAGATGATCATAAATACAAGGTTCTTACCATTCAGCAAACACACCGCACAACCGAACGCGCAAAGAAGCACAATCATAGGGAACTTGTTGTCTGCCATGGCTACCTGGTCTGATGGAAAAAATGCATGAAAAGACTAAATGAAATTAAGAGCATGCCAGTTGTCAAAGTGGAAATGGAATAGTTACGTTTCATCCCGAAGCTCAACTGTTCCTGTATATTATGATGAAAAGCTAAACAAACCTAGGTGTTAAATCTTGTTTAATTGGTTCATGTGACATTGTTATGTTTCCAAATTGACGACAGCTCTCGTTAATTTGAAAACATAACAATGTCGCATGAACATGGAGGAGTCTAAAAATGCTTCGATATCCCGAGTTTTTCAAATACTTCCAAACCTAAAAGTGAAAAGATGTTTCCATTGAGAACGTGGGATGTCTGCCTTTAAAATAGGACACAGCTCAGCCTTGATTTGACTTGGCTTAGATCTTATGATCTCAATTAAGATTCTAGGAGCTATGTTCAGAACGTGTGCGAAGATGAGGGGACATTCCAGTGTCACTACACAGTTACTTGCGGTCAAAGATTTCCTTTGGAACTTTTGGAGGTTGTTATCGTAAAAATACTAATACTGTAACCTGATCTAAACAGAAACAGAATAATTTTCCGCGCTGAGAATTTTAAAGCTTAGAGAATCACAGCTATGAATAAATCAAAAGGTCGATCGTGATGATTTGTCAAGCTGGTTATTCAACGAAAGCAAACTGAAGGTAATCTCAGTTAAGGCTCTCACCACATGCTTGCGTGTCATGGCTAAATAAGGGCGTCGAACTGTATCAATGCCCAAATCGATTAACATTGCCGATTCAATTTTAAACTCTTATCCCTACTAACTACTTTTGAATCAAGGCTGATAGTTTCGAAAGAAACTGTTTGGGGCTGCGTCGGTGGGAGTAACGAAATAATTTGGATATATCAACAAAGTTGAAATGGTAAATTGGCCACCGTAATGATTACAAAAGCTGACGTTTCGAGCGTTAGCCCTTCGTCGGAGCGAATAGAGGAATTGTGGGTTGTGTGTGCTTTTAAAGGCAGAAAATGGAGCTACGTTATTGGTGGGTGCATGGCAACGAGAAAAACATGAATAAATTAGTGGAATGAAAAGCGTTCATTGATCCCTGTGGGATT